GGAAAGAACTTGTTCATTAGGAACTCTGCAAGGAAGTATTTTGAAAGGCAAGGAATAGGTGCCTGTTCCAATGATCTCAGAAAGGGAAACAACAGCTGTGATAGTGTTTTGCTGTTTCCCATAGCTGTCGTGATTATGAAGTGATGATATAATTAACTTTCTCAAAATCTTCACAAAGGGAAAGCTTTTCAGTGATGTATCCACATTTGTGATCCCAAGAAGAGCTTTTTGTTCCTTTAGTCACTGTCTATCACTTCTGTCTGTTATAGTTTATTGAAATCCCCTTTCCTACATCTTACTGGAAACACTTAGCCCCTAAGTTCTTTGCCAGTCATAAAAATTGTGGATTTTCATAAATGTGAAAATCTTTCCTTTTTTTTACTCCTCTTCTCCCTGTTCAGTCAATTCACTTGAGATTTTGGACAGAATGACTGAAAGACAAATTGGTTGCTTCACAAAGGTAATTAAGACAGTATGTGGTGCAGGGGATGAACGACTTGGGGTTCTTTCCTACTAATGATCCGTTAATTAGTGAAGGGAGCTCAGCAAGTGTATGGGCCTCTCGGGAATTACCTTTGAATGACATTTAAAACTCCTTTGGTTAAGAAGGTATAGTTGCAGGGGGAGAGGCTTTTTTTTTTTTTTAGTATTTTTTCTGTCAACATAGGCCAGCAGATTTTGCTAAACCAATGCAAATATGTACATATAATTAGTGTTACATAGCTGTTAAACGTTATTTTAAAATAAGCCAATACACAGCTGTGATATCTCGCTAAGGATTTTGGTAACAATTTTGGTTGTGGCAGTCCTCTATTGAGAACAGTAAGCTCGCTACATGGAGCTGGTTAACTGCAGAGCCAGCATGTCTGATACTTGCTGCCAGTTGAAGCCCTGCACCATGTGAACTTGTTAATATTATTTTTAGGACCAGTCTGGAATACTTGCTTGAATGTTTTTGTGGGAGTCAGCCTGAAGCTGGCAGGGTTAGTATTACTTGGGGGAGGTAAACCAGGAATGGGGTATCTCTGTATCGTGTTCTTTTGTGCATTTCAAAATATCTATGGCATGTGTCCTGTCCTCTGCATTATTTACTCTTCTGCTGTCCGGAGTTATCCAAGATGAATTGACTGCATATGTGCACGCATTTAGCAGCTGTTTAGGGTAGACAGAAAATAGCTCTTAGGCAGCCTGAAATTAGCCACTCATTCTTCAAGCTACATGCAGATGTGGTCCCTAAGGTGAATTTTTCTCTTCAGATCCAAGCAGCATTGCTTTAATCAATGTTCTTCTGTAGAAGATAGCCAATGGATTAATTTTTTCTTTTTTTCCTCATTTAAACTGGGAGATTTTTCCACAGTCAACATGTCAGTTAGAATGCAGCTATGGAGTAGTATTTCTGTTACTGTCTTTTTTTGAAGGATCTTTATCCCTTATCCTCTCATATGTCATTTTCAGATAGCGAGTAATAAATACTAACCTAAAAATTGAGGCAAAGTGTTTGTTAGAGACAAGTGAATGGATTGCCAGTGAGTTTCAATATGCTATGATTGGTTGTTTGCATGTGTAGAATGGAAGTTTGTGGAGTATGCGTCACATGTTTGCCTGGAATGAAGAAAAAATAATGGAAGTAACATAAATTAAAACAATATTTTAAATGTATTTAGTCTAAAGTTCAGAGTTCTGATGTTAGGTGGATGGGAAGCTGAGGCAACAAAATTCCACCGTATTTTAGAAAGTTTATAATTTAAAAATTGCAGGGTGTTCTTCCGCATTTCGTTTCCTCAGAAAAGGAGGGAAGAGCAGCCGCAACACAGGACAATCTCAGGCGGTTTTAATGAATGGATGAAAGCTTCGTACACTATGGATGACTGTGTCACCAAGTACTGTAGTTGTCTTTTGGTAGTTGCGCAAAACCTTAGCCTCCAAATATTAGGTGGTAATCTGAGCAAGTGTGGCATCTCAACCATGCTGAAGGAAGAAGAAAATCTGCAACACAAGGAGGATGTTGGTCATATTGGAAGTATTATTGTTAAATGCTCAAGATCTGAGGTTAATAAATTGGGGAGTTGCGTGCGTATCCACGAGTGGGTTAGTTCTGGCTGAGTTTGCAGGGTGTAGCATAACCACGTAATGCTAAAACTGGAAGAAAGTGAGAATTTAACTTGAAGTGCCAATAGTAATCCACGTGTTAGCTGCTCTGTGTTGAGTGTGTCGCTGCGGTGTTCAGTTCTAATCGTCATTGCCTTCAGCGTCAAATAAGGATGAGCCAAACCAAGCTGGCTGTGCTTCTGTGCTCTCAAGCCGATGTGGTTATTCAGAAGTACAAATAGGCAGCAGCACTAATACGAAGGGTACAATTGCAGCAGTGTTACCAGAGACTGGTTTGCCGGCTTGACTTCCCTTTACCTGCTCTGTGGAGTGGCAATTGAACCAGTACGTTTTGCTTCCCTTCAGGTGGACTGGGTGAGGAGAAGGACCCTACCTGTGTTTTTCACTGAAGTATTTTGTTTGATTGTCACTTTTATTGCTTTTTTTAACCCAGTGCCTCAGCTGCATAGTTTAAAGTGGTGTGGATTCTGCACTTCTGGAGTCACAGGATTGTGATATTTCATATACGAACGCTTATAAGAATACACAAGATGCAGATTTCTCCAACACTGCAATTCCGTTATGCCACCTGACTTCTAATTTGTCTAAATTGGTTCTTCAGTATTTCTGTCATGGAGGGCTAGTTTATATGTGTTTATGATAGTCCTTATGTTTGTGTTTAAGCATTTGGTTTTGATAATTCATGCCTACTTTTAAAACAAGTTCCAAGCTGAAAGGTAAATCTAAACAGACTTATATTTTCTTAAAGTTCTCACCTTTCTTGATCACAAGGAGATAACTTGATGTTTTGGAGCAGAAGAGTGAAAATTTATTCAGTGTTGTAAACACATTATATGGTGAATAAAAAGATAGGCAGCTAAAAGTGAGTAGGTGTTGAAGTTGAGCATTCGCTTGAAATGAATTGATTTTAGTCTTGTTGAACAATAATCTCACCATGTATTAATATCTACCAGAATAGAAATCGTGAGTTATTTTTAAAGCAGTAGAATGTGTGTAGGCAGCAAGTATGGAAAATTCAGTTAACCCCTTATGCGTTCAATCCTTCAGATTATTCCTGCCGAGTTTCAGCATCCATGCAGGGACAGGAATGACTCTCACACATTAATACAATGCACAGCCGATTCCTATTTATTGGTCTGCTTGCGTGGTTATATACATTTTCCGTATCTGCACACGTGATCACGCTTATTCGGATAGGCTACAGACATAAATCACGCGCTGTTCACGCACCCCATATTCCATAGTTACCATGATTGGTAACTATGCACTAACGCCAATAGCAACAGACGGCCTCCATGTCCTTGAACACATCTTGTTTTTGCTAACCCACATCATGTTTATTCTTAGCTGTCCTTTCCAGCGGCCTGTCCAGCTATGCTAACTGTTTTGCTTAAGCGGCCTAGTCATGCTAACGCTCAAACTACATCGACCCCAACATCTCCCCCTTTTTCTTTTCAAAAAAAGCTAAGCTATCTTATCATTGCCTTAAAAACATTTGCTCAATTGGTGTTAGTTGCATCACAAAAATTTT